CCTACCCTTTAACCCTTGACAGCCACAGGCTGGCGGCTCTGACTTCACACATCATGAAGGTGCTGGAAAGACTCATCCTGAAGCATCTGCATTCATTGGTGGAACCTTGGCTGGACCCCCAGCAGTTTTATTACTAGCCTCGTACTGCTGTGGACACCCTCGTTTACCCGCTGGACTCCACTGGAATGCAGAAATGCAGGTGGATGAGCGATTGGTTGTCTGGATCATGGACTACTTAACCAACAGACCACAGCACGGCCAGCTGAAGACCTGCTGCTTGGACAACATCCTGAGCAGAAGAGGGACGCTGCGGGGAACTGTCCTGTCACTCTTCCTCCACCCTGTACACACCTGACTTCAGGTACAGGTCTCAGTCATGCAGAAATACTCAGAGGACTCCGCCATTGTGGCCTGTATCAGAGATAGTCAGGAGGAGGAATACAAAAGACAAAAGACTTACGACTTGACTCGGACTTGAACGCCAATGACTTGCGACTTGAATCCACTTACATCTGTTGATTTGATGTTGACTTGAGCATGTTTGATATTTTAGCACAAAGTGGCCCGACATGGACAAAAATCATGAATAATTCTTGGTTCTGGGTGTGATCTGGTACGGCTAAACGCAGCAGTACTTTGTTTATAATCCGTTTCAGTTGCACTTTCTGCTTGTTGAGCAAATAAATGAAGCTTTAAGAAGCTTTATTTCTGGAATTTATTTATTATCATCGTCATTAAATTGATGTTGGACAGATGACTTGATTATGACTTGAAAATTCAGAGTTAAGGACTTGGACTTGACTTGGACTTCCATTTCATTGACTTTGGGCTCGACTTGGACATGGTTGTCTTTGACTTGGACTTTACTCAAGACTTGACTGGAAAGACTTGCGACTTACTTGCGACTTGCAAAGCAGTGACTTGGTCACACCTCTGCAAAGAAATGATTGTTTTAGCAAATAGAAACCCAGTAAGGAACTTTTTTTGTCTGATTTAAAAATGTTGTATAAATAAACCAGAAACCAGAGAAGTATTAGTCCATCTCAGAGTCATTTCTCTAAATATCACACGTGAGGACAATGTCCTGACTCACATGTGGAGACAGTCAGGAGGTGAAAAATGAAGACAGAAGAGTTGCATGGGCTCATGAAGAGCCCAGCTTACAGGCTGCATACCAGATTCTGTCCACAACCCGTGTCAGAATGCTGCACCTCCTGGTCATCTTGGCACACGCTTGATCTGTGTAAACAGTTAGCTGCCGTGTTATCACTTCAGAACCAATCATCACACAGAAAAACACGTTACATCGTTTACTTTTGATGATGTGAAAACAGAACCACACTTTACGTTTTAGGCATTCAAACTAAATGACAGGTTTCCTTGAACAGACATTAATTCTTATTTAACTTAGTCTTACAATTTCTGCTCATATGGCCTCTAAGGTCTTTTTGTTAGGAATAGTCTGACCTGAAACGTCCAAGTGTTCCAGCTGTGTTTTTGAAAATCTGCTGCTAAAAATGAAGAGATAATTATGATCATGATCAGTGTCACACTGTAAATATGGCTGCTTCCCACGGCTGCTATTCCCGTGTCTGCTCCAAAGTCAGATGACGAGACCACTGCATCAACCTGTCAGACAATTCCAGCAAATACTAGGAAAGGTTGGCTTTTTAAAATTCATCTTTAACTATTAGAACAGGCATGTGGCCTCAGGTACCATTTGTGGCTCGGAGAGATTTAGTTCAGCCCCATAGGCTGCAGACGAGCAGAAGATTTTATGATCCAGTTTTTACTAACATGCTTATTTTAAGCTTATTGTTTAGCAATGTAAGTAACAATATTCACCATATAGTAACTTTTGCACTTTAAAAACAAACAAACAAATAAATAAATAAATAAATAACTTTTGTGAGGCTTTCCAGAAATTTTAACTTGATGATTTTGGTCCTTATCAAGAAAAGTATGGACACTTGATACACAGGTTTGAAAACATACATTTTTAAGAAGTAAAGACTAAATGTGCTTATTTGTATGTTTGTTTATTTATTTATTTGTTTGTTTATCATTCATTCATGGTGTGGTAACCCTGTCTCTTAGAGGAAGTTGCAGCCAACATTCAAAATCAATATGATGAACTGTTCTTGGAGAAAGCAAGTTAGATAAAAGTAAAGGTGACCACGCCTTCCAGAGTGTTGCATCCCTAATTTGGAATCAGCTTCCTTTATCCTAACCCTATCCTTACGTAGTATTGACAGTCTGGCCACCTTTAAAAAACAGCTAAAGACCCTCTTATTTAAAGCTGCTTTTACTTAAATATATTGTTTCCTTATTTTTAGCTCAGATTGATAATCATCCTTCATTGGTTTTATGATATTTCATGACTTTGTTTTTCTGATTTAATTTATTCCTGTTTTGTTTAAAATCATTATGATTTTACAACTTTATGATTTGTCGTTATTAATCTATGTGAAGCACTTTGTGATGCTCTGTCTGTGATCAGTGCTACAGGTGCTGGCCAGTAAATTAGAATATCATCAAAAGGTTGAAAATATTTCAGTAATTCCATTCAAAACGTGAAACTTGTACATTATATTCATGCAATGCACACAGACCAATGTATTTCCAATGTTCATTACATTTAAATTTGATATTCATAAGTGACAACTAATGAAAACTCCAAATTTGGTATCTGAAAAAATTAGAATATTCTGAAAAGGCTGAATATAGAAGACACCTGCTGCCACTCTAATCAGCTGATTTACTCAAAACACCTGCAAAGGCCTTTAAAAGGTCCCTCAGTCTTGTTTTGAAGGCACCACAATCATGGGGAAGACTTCTGACTTAACAGCTGTCCAAAAGACAATCATTGACACCTTGCACAAGGAGGGCAAGACACAAAAGGTGATTGCTAAAGAAGCTGGCTGTTCGCAGAGCTCTGTGTCCAAGCACATTAACAGACAGGCGAAGGGACGGAAAAAATGTGGTAGAAAAAAGTGTACAAGCTCTAGGGATAACCGCACCCTGCAGAGAATTGTGACGATAAACCCATTCAAAAATGTGGGGGAGATCCACAAAGAGTGGACTGCAGCTGGAGTCAGCGCTTCAAGAACCACCACGAGGAGACTCATGAAAGACATGGGATTCAGGTGTCGCATTCCGTGTGTCAAGCCACTCTTGAACAAGAAACAGCGCAAGAAGCGTCTCGCCTGGGCCAAGGACAAAAAGGACTGGACTGATGCTGAGTGGTCCAAAGTTATGTTTTCTGATGAAAGCAAGTTCTGCATTTCCTTTGGAAATCAAGGACCCAGAGTCTGGAGGAAGAGCGGAGAAGCACAGAATCCACGTTGCATGAGGTCCAGTGTAAAGTTTCCACCGTCAGTGATGGTGTGGGGTGCCATGTCATCTGCCGGTGTTGGCCCACTCTGTTTCCTGAGGTCCAGGGTCAATGCAGCCGTCTACCAGGAAGTTTTAGAGCACTTCATGCTTCCTGCTGCTGACCAACTTTATGGGGATGCAGACTTCACCTTTCAACAGGACTTGGCACCTGCACACAGTGCCAAAACCACCAGCACCTGGTTCAAGGACCATGGTATCCCTGTCCTTGATTGGCCAGCAAACTCGCCTGACCTTAACCCCATAGAAAATCTATGGGGTATTGTGAAGCGGAGGATGCAATACGCTAGACCCAACAATGCAGAGGAGCTGAAGACGACTATCAGAGCAACCTGGGCTCTCATAACACCTGAGCAGTGCCACAGACTGATCGAGTCCATGCCACGCCGCATTACTGCAGTTATTGAGGCAAAAGGAGCCCCGACTAAGTATTGAGTGCTATACATGCACATTCTTTTCATGTTCATTCTTTTCAGTTGACCAACATTAGAGAAACAAACATTTTTTCATTGGCCTTTAGAATATTCTAATTTTCTGAGATACCAGATTTGATGTTTTCATTGGTTGTCACCTATAAATATCAAAATTAAACGTAATAAACATCGGAAATACATTGGTCTGTGTGCATTGCATGAATATAATGTACAAGTTTCACGTTTTGAATGGAATTACTGAAATATTTTCAACCTTTTGATGATATTCTAATTTACTGGCCAGCACCTGTATATAAATAACATGCACTTACTGAATGGTAAAATGCTTTAGAAAAAACAGACAGGACAGAAAAGTAATCTGCAAATTGAAAAAAATAATAGCAGAGTTGATGACCAACATAAGATAATAAGAAAACAGGGCTTATTAATATGAAGTTTAATTTCCAGCCAACACAATGAGAAGAATTTTTCTAAATCATCAATGAAAAAAACAAATCAATTCAACAACAAAGATAAAAATCTACTATAAAAATTATCGTATATTTAGCCAGCCTCACAGGGAATGGGAACCTCCAGGAAGAGATGGGTCAACTTTAGAAACGTGCAGGCAAAACATTATTTGGAATATTATTGATCGGCTGTACCCAAGTGTGCTTTTCTCCCACAGTGAGAACTGGGTCAATAACAGCTCTGTGTAATCCGTGAAAATAGCCAAATGCATTGGAAGAGAAAGAAGTGTAAATCATAAATAATGTATAATGCATATTTAGCTGATGCATATACCAGCTTGAGGGAAACAATATGACACTGCTAAAATGTTTTCATCTAAAAATGTCTTTCTTGTTCATATTTTGCTATTTTTATAAACTTTCCCTGCATCTTTCAGTTAGTAATACTTCAGTGTATCAAGCAGCTGACATCATCGCGTTAATTAATTCATTCATTTTTAGTTTGAGCTGGTCATGTGCCGCAAAACAAACGATCAACAACAGAAATTACAACGAAAATAAAGTTTTGAGAAAAAAAAATACCCCCCCTAAATAAATAAATAAATAGAACGCTGATAAGGGTGTCTGTCTGGCACGCGCCCCCCTCTCCCGGGCTCTTACGCAAAAGGCAGCGGACGCCCGTGATTCGCTGTCCCCAGCCCTCCCCCCGCCGGTGACTCACTGCTGCGCTCTCCTCGAGATAAATGCGAGCGGTACAATTGGAGGAGGCGAGTACGAGACTGTCCTTTCGTGTTTCCAGCAGGGGACGGTCAGCAGTCTCGGCTTTTTAATTAGACAAAAATAAGAGAAAACAGCTTTAAAAGAACACCGCTTCACCCGGAGCAAAGAGGCGTTGTTGTGGAGCTAACATGTCGGGGAGTAAAGACAGTGACGGCGGATGGAGGAATTTTATTTGGAACTCCGAGAAGAAAGAGTTTTTAGGACGAACGGGAGGCAGTTGGTGTAAGTACTCCCATTTTCTTTTTACGTTGCCGAGCTCAACAAGCAGGTTCCTTTTTTAAATAAAGGCTGATGAAATGTCAGAAAGGTCGAGCTCATCCTCGGCAGCATGGAAGCCGTTTTCTGTCATTTCCTGGCTGTAGACAGACAGCACCTGTTAGAGCTGACATGCTGCCGAGTCGTGACTTGGTTTCAATGGAGTCTGCTCACTAAAGTTGGACTGTTAAATCCGTTACGAGCCCGGCTAAATGAGTTTTCTCAGTCTGTTAAAAACCACAGGTCAGCTCACAGCCCAGAGCCTTAAACTGATTCTGGAGCTTTAAATGAATGAAGTGCGGTTTGCTGTGACCTTTTAACGTCCAATTGATAAACGAGTCTGGATTTAAACGGGGTGACATTGATAATTCCATGTATAATATACTGTTTACAAAGGCGTGGCCCCTATCGTGCCAGTTAATAATCACTGCCCTATAAGAAAAGGTCATCTTGAAGGACAGCAAGAGCTGGGCCAGGGTATTTCTCTAAAGCAGGGCATAAAAGTTGGCTTACATCTTTGTCCTCGCCTCATTTCTATTTTAGACTACGAAGGAGGAAATAACGGAAACAGGACTTTTTATTGCCCCCTCAAGTGTGAGGTTGTCTCCGCCTGTGGTACCTGGGCCCACTAGCCATCCCCACCTCAATGTCAAATCCAAGATTAATGAACCCAACTCCTAATAATCGTTTTAACGCTGTTTTCAGCACTTTAAGACGGAGCCTTGCTCGACTACTCGACTAATACAGTGGGTGTTAGTTTGATTGGATGGCTACCAGCCATAACACGGCGCTAATTAAACTTCTTAACCCGTTTTTACCGATTAGAAACGGCGTTTTGTTTTAATTAATCCGTGGTGTGAACCGCGACCGGGCTCGGTCAGACACCAAGCGACAGTCCGGGAACACGACGGCGTTCTGGAGCAGATCACGACTCACATGTCTCATGGGCCGCCCCCTCCTCCCTCCCTCTCACGGCTATTTATTTATTTATTTTTCTCCCAGAATTCCCAGTTTAATGCGCTCACTCCTTCCTCCTGGCTTAGCGAACACTTTAAACAAACTGGTTATTTCAGAGAAGGGTTCATTCATTCACGTACAAAACAAAGACCGTGTCTGTCGATATTACAGCTGGCGCGTGCAAATGCTAATAATGGCGAACTTACAGAAGCTACTTTACGGAGTATTGAAGTCTCTAATGTTAGCGAACCGGTGTTTGAACTTAGCGAGATCCTGCTAGGGTGGAACATATTATATCTGTAATGCTTAGGGGTCTAAAATACATAAAAGTTAACTCTGTAAACAACAGGTATCATCTACAGTAGCAGAACTGAGGGGAAAGAATGCGTATTGAGTTAAACAGCTTTGGTGTTGTGTCGTAATATGTGCCCCCGTCAAGATGTTTCCCCACTAGCTTTGCTGCCTTTTCCCGTTGTTTTGAGCCACTTCATCGCAAGGAAAACGCATACGCGAAACACTGTTTGTCCTTGTTCTATAACTGACGAAACATCTGCTTGTAACAATTAAAGTCAGTTTACTCCGTTTTTAATGTCACACATTCGCTAAATGCATAGAGCAGAGTTCGCAGAGTACACGCGGACATGTTTTTTTCTTCTGCGCCAAAAATTGTAGTTTAGTGGAGGCTGGAAATTTAGACAGGTGGGGAAACAAATCTCAACACTAGACAGTGTTTCCTATATGTTTGTTTTATAGCTGACAACGCTGGTTTCCATAGCGACTGCAGTAAACGACGTTCTCATTTAATCTCATACCAGTTCTGGTATTTTTGGAGAGAAAATGATGTTTTGAAAATGTATACAGTAAGCCAGCTCCAACACACTCGTTAAAGGAAGCGAAAAGGTTTCAGAGGGTACTGCCTCCTCACAACACCACAACAACAAGCAGGCTGGTGGGGGAGGTGCTCTCTCCATTCAAACCCTTTCTGTCACCACTCTGGGTCTGGAGCATGCACTTGTTGACTCAAGAACTGTTTTGTGCTCATTTCACTGATGCAATTTGAACTTTTAGATAGTTGATCATGTCTGTCGTCATGTGCCGGGACAACACTTTAGCCTGCTGAGCACTGTTAGACTGACTTGGAAAAGTCCTTGTTTTCCCAAACGCCACACACAAGCTTGAGGTAAACTATATATTTGTTTTGCAGATTCAGTTCACTTTTCCAAGATTTGCTGATTAGAAGGTTTTTATGTCTTAGATGGCACATTGTTAGAAACTGCTGAACTTCGCCGTGGGCATATATGCATGTTTCTGTGCTGGATATGTCCGCCGGTCTACAGTTTCATTCTGAACAGGTGCATCATTCTGAACAGGTGCATCACAGAGTGTTGCAGCTCTGCCTGCTGACATGATCATAGGAGAAATAGCTCCCTTTACTTTAGAAGCAGGTGTTGGAGCAACTTATAGCTTTGGCAAAACATGGACACTAATAGTCCACACTTCCTGTATCGTTCAGTTCTACTTTCATTTTGAATCATTCCATAAGTAACTGTGTCTTACCGAGGTGTAACTTTGCTGGATTAAATAAACTTTTTACAAAATGTAAGCACCCTTAGGCAAATTTAAGTTGCTGTTCTTGACAAACGGTGGTTCATATCAGAGCTGTGCAGAGGCTGAGGCTGCTGTCTGTTTCCAATATATATATATATATATATATATATATATATATATATATATATATATATATATATATATATGATTAGGGGGTTAACTCACCAAACTGGTTTTATATGTCAAACAACTTGAAAGGTAAATACATTTCAGAAGGTGTCAAATACATGAGGTACAGAACTGTACTAATGCTGAGAATTGGTACGTTGAACGTTTATAGGTTGTTTTTTGGCTGATATCATTCTTTAGAGAATGCTCTTGATTTGAAAATAAAAATGTGTAAAACAAAGTATTGATGTTGGTCCACGAAGTGTACAAATGAAAAGAAAATGTTTCTTGTTCTGCTTTTAAACGATGCAGTCAGACCATCATTCCTTCTTGTGTCAGTGCACAAAGCTTCATTCTCCACTTTGTGGTCAGATCTGAGATTAACTAACACATTTTAAAAGTTATCATTAAAGGAAATACAGTAGTTCTGTAGATTAAACACTAGATAAAACTGGACTGTTGTAAAGGTGATAAAGACTCAGACCTGCTGTCAGGATTTATGGCCCTCCTAATGAACTTAAATGAAACCAAGTCAAAAAGAAAAGAGAAAGCGATTGTGACCCCTGTGAGAGCATTACTAAAGCACTCTTTGTTTAATTAGCTAAAGAGAGTGTTTTATGTGGCACGGCTGGAAGTGACACGTTTGTGGGGAGGGTCTGAATGGGAGGGAGCCATGGCGCCTGATACAAGTGACTCATCTCGTTGCACTGGAAATGCAGCCCTCCAGCCGTTGAATTATTTTGAATCAGGAAAAGGTGTTGTTGCTTCGTAACAAAGGAACAACACCGACTTTGGCTGCTACATGGAGGCTCGTGTCTCTTTAGCTCAGAAATCTAGACGAACAGTAGCAGACATAAAAGGGTTTTGCTCTGCAAACTATTCACATAGGATGGCTAGGCCGGCTAGCGTCTCCTGCTTTCAAAATAGGAAACTAGAAATGGCATTTTTAGGAATCATCATGTGTATAGTAAATCTGACTTCGTAGTCCTCGTTCATGTCTGCTGATCTGGTGAAGTGTTAAAAGTTCAAGTGTCTTATCAACACATTCTCACACCCAAGGCGTCAAAATATGACGCGTGTGACCAAGCCTCAATATATGACGATTTGGGATGCCCCAGCGCGTCAGGAGATGACGATCAGAGACAAACTGCTGACGCTGGTGCTGAGACGGACATTGGAACTACTTAACCTTCCCCTCACCCCAATCCTCTGCGGTGAGCCAATATTCTCCCAAACTGCAGGGGGCAGCATGGAGCTCTACGGCATGCATCCAACACTACACCATAGTAGAAGTAGAAATCACTGTTTACAACATGGCATTCCAGCATTTTTAACAGCGTTCTCGTCTTTTCCGACAGTGCGAGCTATTTCTCTCCAAGATTTATTAACAACATGTTGATCACGGTGATCTCTGAGAGCTGAATCATACAAATGTCTGTATTTACGAACCTCTGCCGTGCCGGTCCGCCATGTTTTTCCGCGTCCGACCGTCCGCGTGGTTAGAAATTTTCCGAGGTGCGCGTTGCGGAAATCTTGGGCCGTGCAGAGACGCGGTGGAGGGGCGTGGTTGTTAAAATGACGCAAAATGACGCAACTTTTCCGCGCGGAGCCGTGCGGACCTCGCGGACGCGTCAAGCATAAACCAACCTTTAGGTCACAGTTTATGGACCTTAAGGTTAGGATTGGGGTGAGGGGAAGGTTAAATAGTCGAATAATGTCCGTGTGACCGCGTGCGTCAAACAGTGATGCCAGCGGAGCCACGTGACCCAGCATGTCCCTGATCGTCGTCTCCTGACACGCTGGGGCGTCTCTGATCGTCATATGTTGAGGCTTGGTTACACGCGTCATATTTTGACGCCTTGGGTGTGAGAGTGTGTTGGTCTTATCAAGACTGGACAGCATTATAGGGAGCCTGACATTTACATCCAACGCTGTTACCTAGCTCATTAGTTAATCAGCCTGTTCCAACTTTGTCATTTCACCTAATAACGGGCTGCCTCTTTGTTTCCCTTCAGTTAAAATCACCCTCTTCTATGTGATATTCTATGGATGCTTGGCTGGAATTTTCATTGGGACCATTCAAGCCATGCTGCTGACCCTGAGCGACTACAAACCCACTTACCAGGACCGAGTTGCCCCCCCAGGTGAGCATCACTTTTACCTCCTGATCTGAGGAGGTGTTGCTGCAGTAATCAGCTCAGTCTCACACGGAGCTGGAACACTTGCAGCTCGAGTCTCTGTACGGTTGTTGCAGTTAGACACGGCTGTCTGGGCGTGTCTTTAAGCTGCAATCTTTCTGACCACAGTCACGCTCAGCCATTTTGTCCTTCATTCCTCCCAGCCGGTCAATGGTTCTCCCCTCAAGCTACAGGGGAACTGAAAGATTCCTGTATGCCATGATTGAGTCACAGCTGCCATGTTTACACGTGAATGAATGGTGGTGGAGGATGTTCTAAAGTCAAGTAGATTTATTTAGCCAAGAGCCCACAAAGCATGCTTTTCTTTCTTTCTAAGATGTGGTCTCATTTTGACACACGGTGTGTCGTAAAGCCCTGCTGCAGTCCTGTTCCAAGTCTTTAGAAATGTCCTGCAAGGTTGGAAAAGGGGTTTAAATGCCAAGTTCATCATGTTGTGTCACTACTTGTCTGCGCAGCACGTGTGTGAGCATTGGTGGTATTTTTAGCAGCCATTGTAAACGACTGTCTTCACTTGCCTGCCGCTCCGTCCACGACAGTTGGCTATCAGAGATCAACAAGGCTGTGATGAAAGTGTGGGGCTCTTTGAACTGAAGCAACTTTCCAGTAGAGGCACGATTAAGGAAGCAGAGAGACGTTTTTTCTTTCTCTGAGAACAACCCGCCTCTCACTCTGGGACTAAAAGTTTCCATTGTGAGAGACTCACGTGAGAATGGATGGGTGGGGGCGGGGATTGGTGAATATTCACAAGCGTTCAGTAAAAGTCACTACTATCTCTCTGCTTCTTGTGTAAGTTGTTAGCACCCAATGAATTGATCCAACAGAAAAAGAGGAAAGCTTCATGAATATCACGTTCATGAATCTTAAAAACCCAGCTCATTCTCCTCTGCCCCGCCTCCAGCCATGACTCAGCCCGGCACACAAGGTCTGTGGAAAATTCCCACTCTCATGAGCCTCCACAGACCAGTAACCCCCCCCCCCCCCCCCCCCCCCCCCCAACACACACACGTATACACACACACACACAATTTCTGCTGAATCTGGGTAACATTTTTTATTTATTCCTAATCCAAAAATCTGCTGTTTTTCAGGTCTGTCACACACACCCCGCTCAGACAAATCAGAAATCTCTTTCACAAAGTCCAACCCAGCTACTTACCAGAAGTACGTTGACAGCATGCATAGCCTACTACAAAAGTACAACGACACTCTTCAGACTGAGGAGTTGAAATTTGAGGATTGTGGAGGCAAGTAAAAAGACCAGTTACACTCTTGTTACTTGGTTTTATGTATTCGGATACATTTATTCTTCATACAAAAGAGAAGAGGGTACAGAAAGTTTTTAGACCCTGTCAATTTTTCTATCTTTGTTATATTGCAGCCATTTGCTAAAATCAAATAAATGTTTCCTTATTGATGTACACACAGAAAAACACAGGCTTTTAGAAATGTCTGCAGATTCATTAAAAGAGGAAAAACTGAAATATCACATGGTCCTTAGTATTCAGACCCTTTGCTGTGACACATATATTTAACTCCGGTGCTTTCCATTTCTTCTGATCATTCTCGAGATGGTCCTGCACCTTCATTGGAGTCCAGCTGTGTTTGATTATACTGATTGGACGTGATTAGGCAAGCCACACACCTGTCTACATAAGACCTTACAGCTCACAATGCATGTTAGAGCAGGTGAGAATGATGAGGTCAAAGGAACTGCCTGAAGAAGAGAAGTGAGGTTCTTAAGAGCACAGTGGCCTCTGTAATCCTGAAGACGTTTGGGACGACCAGAACCCTTCCTAGAGCAGGCCTTCTGGTCAAACTGAGCTACCGGGCCAGAACAGCCTTGGTGAGAGAGTTAAAGAAGAACCCAAAGATCACTGGCTGAGCTCCAGAGATGCAGTCAGGAGATAGGAGAAAGCTGTAGAAAGTCAACCATCACTTCAGCCCTCCACCAGTCAGGGCTTTATGGTAAAGTGGTCCATCAGAAGCCTCTCCTCAGTGCAAGACACATGAAAGCCAGCATGGAGTTTGCTAAAAGACACCTGAAGGACCCGAGCTGATGAGAAATAAGATTCTCTGGTCTGATGAGACCAAGATGGAACTTTTAATGGTCTTAATTCTAAGCGGTATGTGTGGAGAAAACCAGGCACTGCTCATCACTTGTCCAGTACAGTCCCCACAGTGAAGCATGGTGGTGGCAGCATCATGCTGTGGGGGTGTTTTTCAGCTGCAGGGACAGGATGACTGGTTGCAGTGGAGGGAACAATGAATGCAGCCAAGTACAGGAACAAGAACCTTTTCGAGAGTGCTCAGGACCTCAGACTAGGCTGAAGGTTCCCATCCAACACGACCATGCAGGAGCTAAAATAACAAAGCAGTAGCTTCACGGCAACTCTGTTCTGGAACGGCCCAGCCAGAGCCCTGACTAAAACTCAATTGAGCATCTCTGGAGAGACCTAAAAATGGCCGTCCACCAACATTCCCCCTCCAAGTTGACAGAACTGGAGAGGATCTGCAAGGAGGAATGGCAGAAGAACCTCAAATCCAGGTGTAAGAAACGTGTTACGTCGTTACCAAGAGAACTCTTGGCTGTATTAGCTCCAAAGGGTGCTTCTACTAAATACTGAGCAAAGGGTCTGAGTACTTAGGACTATGTGATATTTCAGTTTTTCTTTTTTAATCTGCATACATTTCTAAAATACTGTGTTTTCTGTCCATATGGGTGTTGTGTGTACATCAATGGGAAAATGTTTTGGCAAATGGCTGCAGTATAACAGAAGGGTCTGAATACTTTCTGTACCCACGGTAAAAGGTTTACTCCAATTCTTGTATTTATTGAGAAGTTTTGGGGAAACATTTTCCCTTTTGGCTGTATGGTTATCATTTAGGTTTCCAAGTCTAACAGGTGTGTGTGTGTGTGTGTGTGTGTGTGTGTGTGTGTGTGTGTGTGTGTGTGTGTGTGTGTGTGTGTGTGTGTGTGTTTTTCTCTGACTATTGACAGAAACTCCACAGGACTACATAAACCGTGGTAGTCTGGATGATACTGAAGGGTTGAAAAACGCCTGCCGTTTCCTCAGATCATGGCTGGGAAGTTGCTCTGGTATTACTGACAAAAGTTTTGGCTTTGAGGAGGGAAAGCCATGCCTTATCGTCAAACTCAACCGGATTGTCAACTTCAAACCAAAGGTATGTCCGTTACTCACAGCCCTGTATGTGTTCGAGAACAAGGGAGCAAACAAAAACACCATCACCTGTAGGGTTGTCACGGTGTGAAAATGTAACCTCACAGTTATTGTGACCAAAATTATCACGGTTTCCGGTATAATTGCGGTATTTTTTTTAAACATGTTACATTTTCAGACAACTACATAAACCCTGTATATCAGGAAAATATTGTCCTCCGTTTGTGTCTAAATTTTGCCTAAAATGTGTTATTTTGTAATTATGTTGTTTATTTGTTTACATTTTTTCCCTTTAGTCTTTAAAATACCAATATTTGCCCATAACTTCTTATTTTATGTCTGTTTGATGTCATCATTTTAAAAATATTAGATCAGATGATACTCAGTACTCAAGTATACTTCTAATCAGATACTTTTTTACCCTTACTTGAGTAATAAACCCTATATCAGGAAAATATCGTCCTCGGTTTGTGTCCTTCCAGTGAGCTTTGCAGATGTGGGAAAATGTCATCAGGCAGTAATCATTGTTAAATTCATAATTATTCTCGGAGAGAGACCAACTCTTATCGGCCCCTGGGAGCCCCGTAATGCATCGCGTCATTTCAACATGGCGGTGTCCGCGACACGGTTTATATGCAGGTAGCGGCGCTGCGGCTGCTTTATATAGCGACTCGTTGCATTCTCCCTCAACCCAAATCCTCGGATCACGCATTTTAGCTAAAACGCTAACGTTAGCTTGCCTTGCGTTGACTGTAGAGTTGTGGGTGATGGTCACGCAGATGTGTCATGAGATTTGAAGCGTTGCTGCCTTTCACAGACACTTTTTCTGCTCGTGCTGCAAACAGGATAGCCGTCTTCTATCAACTGTCCCTCGGCATTCTTCAGATATCCAAAACATGCCCGTACTTCCCACTTTGTCTTCTTTGAGGGATAATAAATGTCCTGAGCGCTGCCGTCTCCTCCTTTGGCCATTATTTCAGCTTTAGCTTCAAGAAAGTTTTGGTTGTAAACAACAAAGTGCTCATGTGCTGCCGGCAACTTCAGCAGATGATACGGTGGCTGGTAAGGGTCACCGCGCCTACACCGCAGCCACGGTAATCCACCGAGATAATATAGTTTTTAAAAAACAAGACTGTTATTATTATTATTGTCAACTTTTTTTACTGGGGTTTACCGCTACACCGGTTACCGTGACAACCCTGTTAAAGTACACATTTTCTCACTTGACCACAATAGTTGGAGAGTTAGTGCAGATACCATTTGTAAAGGTGTTTTTACTTGATCTATAAAAGTCCATTTCTTGTGTGAATCGCACAGCTTCAGGGTCAACAAATGTTTTCAGAATGGCTTCGGTCATTGTGGGCAACTGGAAGCTTCTGATTTGTCTCTAAATGTAAATTCTGCAGGTCAGGAAGTGTTGGACAGCTTTAGGAGGGATGGGCGTTTAAACTGCCTTGAAATTAGGCTAATAATTGAGTCAGAATAATTATATTTTGTAACAACAAAATGTGTACAGTAGTAACACATTGTTTGAAAAGCAAGTCCAACTTGACTAAGATATTTAGTACAAGTGTACTAAATACAAATATACCGTAGTGAACGTACCACTGAAAATGAGCATTTTTGATATCTCCTAGCTAGTCGTGAGCAGCTTAAGCATCGTGAGAAGCTAGCTTAAAGTTGCACTAAAAGCAGGAAACGGGTATTTATTCAGAATATTTGTCTAAACAGAAAACACTTATTGATATAAAAACTTTTTTCCAATCGGTTCCTGGTCATGACAGGAGCACTAAAACAGTTTAAGACAAAACTAATTTCAAGTGTCTGGAGAGACCAGCTGACTCCAGGCAGGTGGAGCAGCACATTTAAACAACTTTCTCCGTTCATTTCAAACCCACAGGACTGTAAGAAGGTGGAGGTTCTGGGAGTCAAAGACGTACCATCCGGTCTTCCTGCATTATTTATTTGACACTTATTTAAAGAGGAGTAACCCATGAGATGTGCCACCTCATTTTCATGAAGGGTCCTCTTAAATTAAAGCAGCAGAAGGCAGCTGTTTGCACATACAATTAATGAAAGAGATAATAATAATAATTAATAAATAATCACTAAAAACGATCCCCCCCCCTTCCACACACACACACACACACTTGGACCAGCTTGCAGTTCTGGGAGTTCTCCCAACTCCCCACTAATCTCCAGTACATGACGGTACGTTTCATTACATCAAAGCAGACAGAGAGCACCGTGTACACAGCTGCACGTGATAAACAAGTACTCATTACTTGTCTACATCACAGTAAAACCTGCTGAGTACCTAGGAAACATAAGTTAGACTCTCAGTCTCACACAGGTTCACTAGTGGAGTTGTTAGTGCTTCAGGTGTGCCTGATGCTGGTTGCAGGAGCTTTCATGAACCTCCAGCATCGTGTGGAACTGAAGACTTGGTGGATTACTTACATCTTCAGGGCAGAGTTCACCCAACACTCCAGAAACCCCTCAGGTCAACACATTATGTTGGTGATGTTAGCTAGGCATGTTTGGTCAGCCAGCCAATCAGAGAAGAAGGCTGGGGAGTAGGGCTGCAATTACTGAATACTTTAATGTTCAAATATTCTATTGAGTACTCTGTTGAGTAATCCAGTAATCTATTTGACAATCCTTCAGGTGGGGAAAAATCTAATGAGTTTGTATTTAAAAACCCGCTCCTTTTCAGAAAAGGTCACCTTCTATTAAACTACAACAAACTAAAAACGAATCCGTACAGCTGCAGTGTCCTAGAGCGGGGATACTCGGTCCCGGAGGGGCTCTTCAGCATGTTTCAGTTATTTCAAAGCTCCAACACACCTGAGGTTAGTCAGCAGGTGATTAAAGGGTTTTGGCAGGACTTGATGAGCTGCTGAACAGGTGATTCAGGCATTGAATCAGGTGTTTTGGAGCAGGTAAACAACTAAAACATGCTGGACAGAGGCCCTCCAGGACCAGGATGGAGCTCCCTTGTCCTAGAAGGAAGTGTGTATCTGGGACTGAAAGCCATCATCTTCCACCACAGGAAGAGGCGGCATGTTTGATATACAGCTCAGACGAACTCGGAGCCACACTTCTGACAAAGCTGTTCCGACTGCGGTCTGCTGCAAAGACATGAAATAAAATAACCAAATAATGAGGCTGAGATGTGAGACTTTATTATTAAAGGCTCACTCAGTAATGTGTATTATGTTGGTGTGGTCTAGTTCCCTCTGGGGTTGGGCGACTGGGAGAATACTTTAGCCGTCGATGATAGGCTTAGCTTTTCAACGATCACTTTTACAAGAGCAGTTTGTTTATTTGCCCGTGATTACGTTCGTTAGCGGTGATTCACGCAGGTGCTCAGATATTTTAAATGTCACCGTGTCGCAGAAGTAACACAATCAAATAAAAAATTCCCAGAGAATTGTCTCACATTCTCCGTGCCTTGCTGCTGACGGTGCACGCCAGAGGACAGCGTGCTAAAGAGGAACTTGGATCAGACAATGTGGGTAAAGTGTCCCTCCCAATTCTCTACCAGGAGCCGGGATTCATCCTACAACTCTGATTGCTGGACAACCTGCTCTAATTCCTGAACTGCTGCCGCTACAGTAGTTTTTGTCTTGCTGGTTCCTCTATCGTCCTCCGTGGCGCCGAGATGACCACGTTGTGCACCAATAAAATGTGTTCAGGCGTTGGTGTGCACATTTAACGAAGCTTCACATCAGCACAGAATGATTAGAGGAATTTACTGAATCAAACCTTTTGAGTATTTGTTTCAGCCCTAACTTGGTCGGCTGTCTGGAAATCGGGGGTGTTAGAAATAGAATAAATATGGTCTGATTCCAAACACCCAGTTACTTTTTGATTTTAAGAGAGGACCTTTCAGATTCTGCTCTATAGTTTTAGTTTCATAGATTTCATTTTTGTTTCTGAGAGGGAACAGCCCACAAGCTGTCTGACTTTGCTTTAATCATCTTGTTTTTTGTCCCTAGGTTCCCTCCAACGACACACTCCCAGAAGCTCTGAAGGGCAAATCCGTTAAATACCTGATCCCCATTCACTGCAAAAATAAGGTACGATTGATGCCACAGTTCAGCTTTCCTGCTCGTCAGTGGTCTTTGCGTTGTGAAAAGTTTGGCTGAGTGCCTCATAATTGTGCTGTTTCTACAGAGAGAGGAAGATGAAGGCAAGATTGGGGAGATCAAGTATTTTGGCATCAACGAAGGCTTTCCCCTGCAGTATTACCCGTACTACGGCAAACGGCTGCACAGCCAGTACCTGCAGCCTCTGGTTGCTATTCAGTTCACCAACCTCACCACGAATGAGGAGCTCCGCATCGAGTGTAGAGTATATGGGGACAACATAGAAATAGGTGAAAAAGACCGTTACCAGGGACGCTTTGACGTTAAGTTCACAGTGAATTCATGACCTTGGCCATGGTGTGTGGTTTCCGTCTGGAAACAAACTAAATGTAGAGAATTTATGAGTTCAAATAAAACACCACTAGTCTCTGAGCTTTCATTATAGACAGGACCTACACTTAATCTGTGTGCTTTACACTCGCTCTTCTGTGTTTTTGTCCAGAGTTAGAATGTAAAATACAAGAAGTAGCAATAGCAAATATTTATTCTACTGTAAGTATAATATTCCAGGAGCCATGGGATGTTCATCTAATACTGTAAAACTGCAGTTTCACTACTGATGTGTAGCGCCTCGCTTCTGTCCCCATGGTCTTTTATCCCCACGTGGTTTCTATAGATTTCTGCAATGCCCAGAGTTGTAGTCTCGTCCTGTTATCTTTGTCTTATGTCAGCTTTAGTGGTCCAAGGTGTGTGTGTGCGCGTGCACACTCGTGTCTGTGCAGGCATGTTATTGTATGTGAGTATGGAGTGTTTGTCAATGTGCTCTGACTAACTGAAGTACTGGCATGGTACTCTGACCCATGTAGGAGTAAAGAACCACGCTCCATCTTTTTGTTTGTGCCTTTCTACATTCAGGTTGGCTGTAGAAAGATCCATTTGTACACGTTTACTTTGCTAATAGATAGTTTGACATTTCTGTTTGATACTTGTTCATTTTTAATCATTTTTAATTCGTAGTGTAAAGCTTTGTGGGTCCAGCCTAAGAAGACTGTCACCTCCATGGAAACAGTGGCATCTCAGTGCTTTGAAATCTGTTTTGCTGGAGACGTCACTTCGTGTGATGCAACTATTGAATGTTTTAGCCATTTTCATAGTTGAAGAGTTTTATATTTATGCAGTTGTACATTTTTTTTCAAAGTGTAATGTATATGATAATACCAAAGTCGCTGGTTAAAACCATCAGGCAGTGCAGTAGTAATACGATGTTTAGTTTGTGTGCAAACAAAATCTTAATACAACGTTGGAAATCAAAACACCTGTCGAGAGTCTGCTCTTGTCTCTTTATTTAGTCTGCAAGAGGTTGAAACAATAAACAGAAGAATAAACAAACAGTCACACTTTCTCTTGATTTCATCGATCCAAAATCTTGAAGAAAAACTCCACCTGGAAGAAGAGTAGGAATGAGTTGGTCACACATCAGCAGAGTGGATGCCTCATGTCTAAAGCAAACATGCCTGCTGTGTGAGAGCAGAAGCTGTGACTTTAACTCTTCTCTGGTCTACACAGGCTCTGTTGGTCAGTCTGTTCCTAGTCTTGGGAACATGGCTGCTTAGTTAGTCACAGGCTAATGTTCAACAAGGAAGCAATTGTCCAGGCTACAGATCAGGAGTTTTCCTGAACAATGACGTCGGACGGGTCCGACCCACTGCCTGCAAAACAATGGTTTTGTTTCAAATTCCTCTGCCATTCTTGATCTCCTGAAAACCAGTGTGATGTAAGGTTGCCCCAGCCCACTGGAGTCATGAGACCCGTCTAAAGACGCCGCGTCACAGGCGAGGTGAGGGGGCTTTGTTCTTGGCTGAAGGTAGCTGTGTACGTACGAACTGTAGGACAGCATGGAAACGTATCGAAACGCTGGGCAGATGATGCGTGTGAGAGACTAACCTCTAGAATGCCGTCTTCAGGAAGGTCCGTGCAGTGGACGGCCGTTTTTACGTTGTCTGTGCCATAGAGCGCACGCAGTGTGTTAGGACGAAGAAGCCGTGCGATTTCCTGTTGGATGAAAACCGTTTGTTATAACTTCTCTGATAAAACGAGAACAAATCACCTTCAGCTTCACCCAGCTGGCAATGACTCGGCAACTTTTGTGTCTGAATGTCAAACGGTGAGCATGACGTCTGAAACTGAACATCCTGTGCCCTGGCATGTTAATTCAGCAGTGATTACTCAGCAGCTCAGCATGTGATCCTGTACAAGCTAAAAAACACACTCAGCAAAGCTTTTTATGGGCTGTATGAGGAAATTAATATCAGTGCTTTATACTCAAATACCACCGTTTTTAGCTGAGTACATACTGTCCTGCGAGGAAGTATCCCCCTTACAGATTTCTTCTGTTGATTTTTGTGACGTCAAAGTCAAATGTTTCAGATCAACAAACACTTTTCAATATTAAAGATAACCTAAGTAAACACAAAGTGCAGTTTTAAAACGAGGATTTGATCAAATGTGGGTAAAAATCTGTCAAACAACCTGAATCTTTGAGAATATAAATTGTCCTCTTCATTAAATCACGCATTAACTGTAATTAATGATGATTTTTGGAGAGGTGAGTTTATTTCACTATTCTGATTTCTGTCAGACCAGCAGAATTCAGAAATCACTTCAGTAGAGCCTGTCTGACAACATGAAGTAGACCAACAGAACATGGCCTGATCTAAGGAGATTAAAAAGGGGAAAAAATCCCTGAACAACATCTAAGACCGCACTTGGTTATGATTAAGGTCATGATTTACCAACAATAAAGAGATACGGAGCTAAATGGCCTCCAAGTGAGAGTTTCAAGGCCAAAATATCTACTGATCCTTAAAAGAAAACAAAGGCATGCCTGCATTTACCAAAAGACATCTGTGTGATTTCCAAGAGTGATGGGAAAATACTCCATATGATGCTACATGAGTGGAACGTTGTAGAAGGTCTGCTTCCAGTAACGTATGGTGGTGGTAGTGTGATGGTCTGTGGCTGCCTTGCTAACTGATGGAACCATGATTTCTGCTCCAGGAAATTCTTAGGCAGAAAGTCTGACGTTTGACCTTAAACATGCTGGAAAATGCTTCAATGTGTCTATAACATTCTACATTTCTACAATACACTTCTATAAAAACGATGAGAGCGACTCCCAGTTCTCATAAACTCTGGATTGTGGCTTTTGCTGCCAAGAGTGTTGGAACAAGTTTAGGAGTCGGTTACTTTTAAACAGAACCAGGTTAGCCTGGATAACCATTTTGTCGATCTTTGGCGTGGAGATTAATTTGTTGACCCTTAAGAGAGGAGAAAAAACAAGAATCTGGGCGAGATGAACGCTTTTCACAGCTCTGTTCCATCAGTCAGTTTTTCTGCATTTCTTTTTAAATTAAATCTTTTTCAGCATATTTAATAAATCTTTTTTTAACACTGGCTTACTAACTGTAAGCCCCTTCTTTCCAGGAAAAACAACGATTTTCTTCCAACATCAACTCCTCCCAAGGTCAAAGCTGGACTCTTGCTTTTGTTCTTCCAGGAAATGAAATCCTCCCACGGGGTCCTCCGTGGAAGGAGGGGCCGCGTGTGAATAATTAATTCATCAAGACAACTAAGGTCTAAAGCAGAAGAAATGTAGAATAATGTGGTAACACGAAGAGAAGTAAACCGTGTGATTATCAGAGACTTAAGCAGAATCTGCATCACAATCTCTCCTCGTTGATGCCTTCTGGCACAGCATGAGAGCTCACTGGAGGCAGGAAAAGGAATTCAAGGTCACAAATGTGCCCGACCCGTACGATTCATTGTCTTAAACTGCAAAAAGGAAAAAGTTTTATAGAATAGTTTACTGTTGTACAGATGTCACTAACGTCTAACAGCATGCCTGGGTCAGCACGGGACACAGCAGGACTTGGGAGTCGTATTTCCTGATATTTGGACATCTCTCCTCTGATTGGATAACAGCAACATGACCACCACTGATTCTGTTTGCTCTGTGACATTAATGTTTTACCTCCACAAATAACACAAGTCTGGAGGAGCTTCTGCTGTGTGGCTGAGTAGCTAATGCTAACGGTTAGCTCTGCTGTATCTTGAACGCTAATAGCCCTCCTCGTCATGAGTCAAGATGAGTGAGTACATGCTTATTTTTATGTTCAGTCTGTGTGAAAAACTCAAGAGTGACTGATTATAATCAGAAATAATCATTAAAAATGTTTTTTCGGAGTCCCACACCTTTAAACATTTCAGTTGTGACACTGATGCCGTGGTTCTGAGTCGCTGAGGGAAGGCGAGCCTGAGGACTTCGCAGAGTGAGAGCAGGCAGGCCTGGGTGTGGACAACAGAGGAGTTCTGTGTCCATTCTCTCTGGTATCAGGGCACATCACAAGACAAGCCAGACTCATGACTGAGTGGGTGTAGAACAAGGCAGCGGAGGGCGAGTGAGGAGGTGTGAACACCTCACTAGAGGATATCTCAGGCCTGGTTAAAGGCATACATGCCCTCTGCCTACATCTGACCCCTACCATTTAACTGATATGCCCTCAAGACTTGCACCATAAACCAGTTGTAGGTCAGTGAATCCATCAGATCAAACGTGCACTCATTGTAATTCACACTGAACCTATGCTGATGATAGATTAGTCAGCTGGAATTAATCATTAGCTTGTTTTGCAGTTAATATTTTCATACCTACGGTGTGAGGTTAATGAGCAAGGCATCTTGTCTGTAATTCCATAATGATCCGACCCCTGGAATGTTTTCACTCACACAAACAGCCAAGGAAATGTTCAGTACTGCAGGACCCCCCACCCCCCCACACTGAGGTAAGTCTGAGGTCATGAGATGATGAAACAGCCTGACCTCCCAGTTACTGAGTAAAGTCTGAAGCAATCAAAAAGGTTGCAGAGTTTTTAGAGGAGCTGGAAGCCTGAAAAGTAATCAGAGTAGAATCTGACCAGAGCGGTCTGAACAAAACCTCAAACAGAAGTCAAACGTTCATCAGAAGGCTAAAAGCAGCAGATCCGAATGTA